GAAGATCGAAGGCTGGGGGGCAGTTGATGGGACATTTCTGGAATACTCCAAGATGAAGACACGTGTCCTCGGTGTCACTGATCCTTGTTATCAAGATCACGTACCCATCGGGTCACAAGTCCCCTCTACCCCGAGGTACTTATCATGGGATTGAGTGGTATCCAGTACGTTTTTATGTACCGACACGTACCCTCGGTCTGATATGGTACATCGGTCGCTAGGCCTCCCCCTCTCGGATTCAAGATGTACCTATTCCTCGGTTTCTGAGATGTACCTCTTCCTCGGCTCCGAGATGTACCTCTTCCTCGGTACCGAGATGTACCCCTCTCATCCATGATGAAGTTCTCTGCTCCAGCAGAGGTTATTGATGCACTGGTCACTAGCCTAGGCTAGGCTAGGTTAGCTATCATGACCTCGTCTTATACAATTGGTGTCAGAAGGCACAGAAAGGCAGGGGCCACAGCCAATGAGGAATGGACGCGTGGCATATTGTGTCACATCAGAGACAGAAAGACCGTATGACCTTGCTGACACGCGACTTGGGAAAACAAGCATTTAATTACATCATTCCCTTGATGAGACTGCATTCAATGCAGTAAGGCTCAGAAGTGAAAAGCAATAAATGTCTCTAAAACTGGGCATTTATTGCATCCTCCCCGAGAGGAGCTCATTGAACCATCGGCAGGCCGATGACACAGACTTGATTGCTCGGGGTCCAAGCAGTTAAGAGAGAAGACATTCCTCATAGGAATCAGTGCGCACGTTGTCTGTATCTAATGATCACCTACTGACCACACTGACAACAATCATGAGTATTTGAGGTATAAATACTCCTCACTAATGGCAAGAACAAGAGGTGAAACTTTTGCTACAAATTATATTCAGTGTTTTCTTCTTCTCTCTCTCAAAAACTGACTTGATCGTCGGAGGGGATACGCCGAAAAAAACTCCGGCGCCCTTCTAACTTGTTTTTCTTTTTTGCAGGAACCTTTCTTCAACTTTATTGGATCGTTCCTTTGATCCACAAGGGTCTCCCATTACCGTTCCAGGTTACCACCGGATCTCACAGGCTGTTACAAGTAGCGTGGTTGACCACTCAACTGACTCACTCGAGTTCACCAAGGAAAAGATTTGTTCTCGTTTTTATATTGTGCAAGATCTAGCACGCACAGGAATCTATGTTTATAGCATGTTCTCGGGATTTCCCACGTGTTCAGCTTAGAACGGCTCATACTCTGTCGTTGAATCTTCTGTCTTGAGACAAGTTATTCGTTAGGAATTCATTGTACAGCCTCTTGAACAACTATTCACATTGTTATCTGTCATTTAGGCTTCTGTAACTTGGACTGCATCTCAGCAAAGGAATTTAGATCAGAACTCCCCAAATGACTGCTATTGGCATAGGTACGTTGCATTTTTCATTTCCAAGATTGTAATTTACGGATACAAATGCTTGTGCACATTCACTATGAAGTTGTATGCTACGTTACAAAACGCATACGATGCCCTCTTGTCTGAAGTCTGTGCAAAGGTAAAAGTACAACACCCAACGCAGCATTGATTCTGTTTCAACACTAAACATATTGGAATGCTAGTGTATGTTATGATCATAATTCACAACGCGTTTAAACTCCAGTGTAAACTCCACTTTTTTTTGTTGCTGTTGCTAATGTTTCTTCAAGTATAAGAAAATTATTCTAAGTGATCAATCACATCTATGCACAACTGCGAGCAACTCACTGAACTGCATAAACAGATCATCACAAACCTCCTTTTTTTTCTTTTCTATTGCAATTTCTGGATCATTTTTAAACTTCCCATATATAGAAATAGATAGGTTAGAAACGACATTTACGTCAATGACACTAAAGGAATATTAAATGAATGTAATTGAGATATGGATAGAATATAATGAAATAAAGTTACTTTAAGGTTTCCTAGGAAATGAGGCATGGAAGAGAGTCACTACGAGTTTTTATTGAAGTCGAAAGGTATCCTAAAAGAATGGTAGCACCACAATCCACCCAGTCATAGCCATCATAAATGGTTTGTGCATCGGCGCGAAAGTAGGTTTTAGATAATCTATTGAATCTTCTTATTTTCTTTCTCTTTTTCTTAATTTTGTAATTGAAGTAGAACCTTCAAAACTAGACAGTTTGTGCTACTGTGTGAGGGGGATATCAATCTAAATTCCTTGGTACAAAACATCCTATGTGATTTCGATGCAAGCAAACTAACATTCCTTTTTTTTTTTTTGTTCAATAGTCAAGGGTGCCTGGGTCAACTTGTGTGCATCTCGATTAGTCTCCTCCTATGTTCGGCCAAAGATATGTCATTTACGTCGGGATTAGGACATTCATAAGAGATAAATATCTTATAACTTGATCCAAGGGGTTGCCAAATGCACAATCTCATTATATATAAGATTGTGCATTTAGGTTTTTTTTTGTTGGGAGGGGGGGGGGGGGGGAAGAGAATTTTCTAATAGTTATACCTTCTATTGGGTGGTCTAATTTTATTCGATTGACATGCAAAAGAAAAGGATAAACAAACTGATTGTACATATACTAGATGTATGCAAGTTAGGCTAGATGTATCAAAATGCCATGATGAGTGAGATAAGATAATACATATGCCTTCAATATCGTAAGCTTTGGTTATTTTACCGATCTTCTTCCTCAACTTGTCCCTTTTTCTAAAAATAATCTTGTTGTAAATAATGGAACACCATAACTCGTAGCATGAAAAAAATATATCATAATTACCAATGTTATATCCGAATAGAAGTTAAAAAACTTAACTAGGTTAAACTAGTGTTTCAACCTAAAAGCCCAAAGAGAGAGAGAGAGAGAGAGAGAGCTTGGGAAAGTAGGAGAGTTTGGAGCAAAAGAGACCAATTGTTACGGATCAATTGCAGGGAATGAGTGAGGGAGAGGACTGGGGGGTATGACTGAGTAGTCAAGGTGTCGGTCTAAATTAACTCCACACCATTAACCGTAATATAAAAAATAAAAAAAAAAAAGAGTGAATATTTACAGCTACACAGTTTAATTTCCAACGAACCCATACTGTTCGAGTATTAGAAAATTATAAGGGTTAATTGCAAGTTGTACCCTGAAAGATAGTTAAAATTTTAATTTATACCCCCAAAGATCAAAAATTTTAATTTGTACCCTCAAAGATAAAAATTTGTATCAATGTGTACCCCCAAAGATAAAAATCTCAAGTTGCAACCTCAAAAATAAAAATTTATATTAATGTGCACCTAAAACTAAATTGATAAATTATACATAGATTTCTTCATGTTTGTCACTTAATTATTTGGACCCCTTCACATTTAGAATATTACTCCTACATCTCATAACGTTTATGCACGTGTAACACGTAACCCCCTTTCATTGATATCTGTTAATATAACAGTTAAAAAATATAATTTTACCCTAATAAAAAATTATATTGTCCAATGGTAAACTTGATTTTGAACTTTAGAGTATATCAAACTCACAAAATTAAGGGTAATATGAAATTATAATTTTTTATTAGGATAAAATCATATTTTTTAACGGTTATATTAACAGATATCAATGAAAAGGGATTACATGTTACACGTGCACAAACGTCATGAGATGTAGGAGTAATATTCTAAATGTGAAGGAGTCCAAATTATTAAATGATAAGCATGAGGGATCTAAGTATAATTTATCAATTTAGTTTTAGGTACACATTAATACAAATTTCTATTTTTGAGGGTGCAAATTAAAATTTTTATCTTTGGGGTGCACATTAATACAAATTTTTATCTTTGAGGGTAAAAATTAAAATTTTTAATCTTTGAGGGTACAAATTAAAATTTTTACTATCTTTCGGGGTACAACTTATAATTAACCCAAATTATAATATATACCCTTAAATTATACACTTAATTTCTATTTGATCCTTAAAATTCTAATTTCAACAATCAAATCCTTTAAGTTTTAATTTAGTATTTACATTCAAAATCACTAATTTATTATGATAGAATGACCTTCCGTGACAAACCCATGATTTGGGTAAAAAGATAAATTTGTCTAGTAAAAATGGGTAAAAAGATAAATTTGTCTAGTAAAATTTTTTTATGTATAGGCTAGAAAAGCTTAATTTATTTTATTTAATTTTAGGAAAAAAAAGATAATGAAACCCGAAAAAATGATATAAAGTAACAATTTGAGAGATATTGTGAGACACATAAAGAAATACCGATGTATCTAAGAGATATATTTTTTATTGGATAAATTCACCCTTGTGGGTAAGTTTTGTAGCGTCTTTTTGTTTGAAACAATTTAATAGATTGGGATGAAATGACTTAATTAAAACGTCTTTCCCCCCTCCCCCCCCCCCTTTTGTTTATAGTTTAATTTCTTATAAATTTTTGGATTAAGATCATGTTTATTATGCTTTTATTCAATTATAAATTATTTACTATGAATACAAGTGGAACTTGTTATTAATAAGTGGCCTCTTCAACTATACACACGACTATTGATCTACCTTTTAATTAAATCAAATAAAAGTATAACGGAGAAAATTTGGGTTCAATTTCCTTACATGACACATTCACCATTATTTAACAAACAAAACTCCGTTTTGACAGAAATTTTTTTGTTACTACGGAGACTAAAATGAATCATTGATTAAATTAAAATTTTAATATTTTGATGTGTTTCAAGACATTTCAATATATTTCAATTTATATTTATAGATGTTGTGGAATTATTTTTGAAATGCTTTTAAAACATTTTCAAAATTATTTCATCTCTTAAATAACCAAAATTATATAGCAGAGCGCCTAACAAATTTAGTAGATTTAAAAAAAAATTAATTTAAAATATTTTTTGAATTTATTAATTTAACTTGTGTGTATAGATTCTTACCATTCCAAAAGGAAAGGGAGGATCCTCCCAAATTGGAAGGGAGTAGAACCCTTTTTTCATAGCTACTCCGTTTGTGTCCTTCGCGCTCTCTCTCTCCTCACTCTCTCTCACACTCATAACAGGACATTTCCATTCTTTATCATCTCATTTTCCACACCACCTCGTCTCTTTTCTCTCGTTTCTCTTGCCTCTCCCTCTGTCTGGTCCATGGTGGTTGAGCTTCAAATCTTCCGTTACAAGACAACATCTGGGTAGAATGTAAAACAGCCATTGGATCTGATCTCTGGGTGGGGGAGAGAGTGAGAGGAAACAACAAAAAGGGTCATGGCGATTGCGAGAATGAGAGAATTGGTGCTCCTCTGGTGTAGAATTAGAAGCAACCGTGTTGCCCTCGTGGGTGGAAACCACACCGCTGCTAGGTTTTGCACTCGCTAAATCTTCTCCATTCTCTCCGTCCTGGCTTGTTTCTCTCACTAACATTGAATATCCAACATTTCACAATTTGGGTATTTTCCATACCTTTCAATCAAGTTCTTGGGTTGGAAAACTGCATTCAGATCTGTCATTTTCGTGCGTCACCCATCAACATTGTGGAAGCATTTCGTGGTTAAAGGCGAAAGACATACAATCGAAATGGACTTGGGTCGTGGGTATTGCGTCAAGAACGAAATCAAGACGAAAAAGTTGAAAAGTGTTGAGATTGGAATGAATTCCGATACCCTTTTGAGCATTAAGCTCCCAGATCCGAGGGTTTTGCTAATTATCTCAAGGTCATTGTTTTTGGCAATGATTATTTTGACATGGCCCACAATTGAGTGTATTATCAAGGGATCTTCAAGTGCTTTGTATGACTCTGACGTTGGGTCTGATCTGATTGATTTGGACTGGTTGCCTATTGTTCTTCACGATTTGGCCGACGAAGGCCTTCTCAAAAAGGGCCAAAAGTGCCTCATTTTGAGTTCTGACATTGGTGCTCTTGAAGAAGTTTCGGAGTTCTTAAATGATTATAAGATGAATTTGGTTATTGGATCTGATTTGGACCGCCTAAGCTCGACCCCAGACGAGACATTTGATTTTGTGTTCACTACTTGCAGCTTTCAGGATAGTGAATCTTTTGATCGGATTCTGAAGATTGGTGGCATTGTGGTTATGCAATTGAGCGATAACCCTTCAAATCAGTTTCAACCACAACCCAATTATAAATTTGTATATCTTCACAGATTTGATTCGACTGTTGTAGCATTGAGGAAAACTGATGGGGTGTATGACTCGGTGAATCCCCCAACAAAGCGCAGACTTTGTGGTACAAAAGAGGCCAAGAAAGCGGCATTAGAGGGTCTAGAGAATGTATTGCTCGAGCCACCTAGACGACCATTGGCAAAATCGAGCAATGGCTCAAGGAAAATCAAATTCCTCCCTGATTTGTTGAGGGACTCACTTGAAAGCTACCAGCGTAGGATTTTCATTACGGATGAGAAACCAGGAGTTCTGGAATGGTTTCATGAGAATTATCCAATGAGAAATCAGTACTTTGAGATCTACAGGTTGGGGGTCAAAACATACGATACGAGGAGGGTGGACAAAGAATCAGTGACCAGAATGGCACCTCGATTGGAGTGGTCGATGAAGAATTTGAGGGAAGAGGACTATGTAGTTATGAAGGCAGAAGCACAATTGGTGGAGGAGATGATAGAGAAGAGGACAATCTGTTTGGTGGATGAACTGTTTTTGGAGTGCACGAACCAATGGCAAGGTGATGAGGAAGAAAATGAGAGCAAGAGAGCTTATTGGCAATGCTTGACACTGTATGGAAAACTGAGAGATGAAGGGGTTGCAGTGCACCAATGGTGGGGCTAATGTAGAGAGAGCCTTTTTTAAGAACTTGATCCTACAATAACTGGTTGTTTGAGCCATTGCTCTTGAGTTTGTTTTTTTGTTGGTTTTGTGTGAATTGGAAGAGTTAGGAGTGAAGGTTTCATCTTTTCTTCCTTACTCCTCCTCCTTGTTTATTTTCTTCCTTACTCCTTGTCCTTGTTACTAGTGGTGTCTCTTTGGAATTGTTGGGTTTATCTGTCCTATATATTGAAATAAAGGCAGAAGGGGAAAGAATAAAAGGTTCTGGTGGTGTTTTGTGATTTCCAGTGCTTGCTATGGGTGTTAGGTTTGGTCTCTCTCTCTCTCTCTCTCTCTCTCGTTTATTCAAACACCGTTGGTTTAAAATTTATTTACTCAAATACTGTAACAATCGATGTTTTTAAGTCGGGGTGTTTTGAAAATCCACTAATACAGCCGAGGTAACAATACATGACAAAATAGCTAATGAATTGCTCATGCACGAGTCACAATCAAGTTCAATTTGAAAAATCAGCCATTTAAGGTCCGTGCCGGTAGTCCATCGGGTCGACCCAAGGCCGGCCAAAATTAAAAAAATAAAATTTTATATTCTCAATTTGGAAATGAAAAAGGACTATGGTTGTGGGCTGCCTTTTCTTTGGGCTAATCAGCCCAGCCCACACCATTGACGAACCAACAGTCTTACCCAAGGCCCCGACCCACCACTGATCCTTGCCCTCCTTTGATGTCTCATACTATTATGGGCATGTTTAGTACATGAGTTTTTGGATGAAATTTAAGAGGTGAATTTTGTGAAAATAGTCCATTATACCTTCTAAACTCATGTTTGGTTTAAAATTTGAGACTTAGGGTAAATGAATCCTAACCCGTAGTGAATACCACAAATGAGGGTTTGATAAAACCCATGGAGGAGAGTTTCAAAAGTGAAAAATTGGATGTAAAGACAAAAAGACTACTTTATCCAAAAAAAATATTTTTCTATTCACCGACATTTTAAGAAATTAAGTAATACGATTTGGCATAAATCAAAAAACCCCCACATATATTTATATCACCTACCAAACATGAAATGTGATAAGATTTTTTTTTGAATCTCATGTACAAAACCTTGGGACTGGGTTCAGGAAGATTTCTTAAATCCAATCCAAACCTCCCAAAAAATGAACATCCAAATGGCCCCTATATGTACCAAAGGCTTAATCCCTAGGGTCCGATTCTTTAGTGGGATACTAGCAAATTTTTCATATTAACCAAATACATAAATAAAAATATATTTCTTTTTTCTCACTTTCACTTTCTATCATTTTTTTTTCTTCCAAACCAAACGAACCCTAGGAAATCATATTTCATAAGTTGAGTCACTGACAACTTAAAATTCTGGTGAAATCCCAGTACAGCATTTTTCAGGCTCATTCACCATGCAAGCAAAGCATTTAAAAAGCCCACGAGTGTGTGCTAACTTATTGCACCCATCATAAAGCTTCATTCACTCAATTACACCCCAAAAAACTGAGTGGTATAACTGCAGAGGTGTCTCTAGGCTAATCTTTCATGGAAAAAGAAGAGGAATGGAAAATCCAAAATTCAAGTTTATAACTGCAAATTCTATGGCTCTAGCTAATTTTGTCTCTGACGAGGTTTCCTCGTGTTTTGCCAGGACATCAGTCTCTTAAAATCCTAATTAATGCAGAACAATACTTACCTGCCTTAACAGGTGTGTTAAGCTCATGCTCAAACCAATAATGACTTCAAGGGCAAGTAGATTTTGTAGAGTACATTCAAAGTATGCCCACAGTTTCCTTCCTTGATAATTTTTTGCTTTATAAACCCCATCAGGAAAGCATAAGCCTTTTATTTCACAAAATAACTTCAATTTACACATGGTACACGCTTGGGATGCAACTTGATGCTTGCAATTTCTGTACACTGAACTAAAACCCAAGCCTCCCCCATTTGCCAGGAACCCTAAAAGGGAAAAAATGCTCCCGGAATCTGGGGCTTCAAATAATAGTTTAAGATTAACGTAACTACATTATTCCTACGTGTCCATATATTCAATGCCAGCTTCGGCTTCTGTCAAGCCCGAATCATTCTGATTTAACAAGTAATCACAAAGCTCCAAAAGTTGATCGGCAAGGGGAGGAATACCTGGGTTGCGACCATCATTGTACTTGTGGGCATTATAGGTGATCTGCCATACGTCATGCCTGAATTCCTCTCGGCTCTTGTACTCCATCTTCCTCACCTTCTCCTTGACAGTGGACAGATCCATAGGGTACTTTATGATGTCCAGGTAGTCAGGAGCTTCCTTCTTGGACACCGGTTTCAAAAAGAGGTAGGACACCTCGTACCGGTCCTTGAGGGTCTCCACAATGCTCTCTAAAATGTTTGCCAAACCAACCTGTAACCAAATTACAACTTTAAATTTTATTTAAACTAGAAATTGTATTCTACCACACACTTCATCAAGCAAGGTAAGAGAAATATCCAAAAAAAGAAAAAGTGCCTTGACCCATCAGACAATCCCCAGAAAAATCTAAAGACAATATCTCTGATTATTAGTGAAGATCAACTATGATCCTTTTGAATGACATAATACCTCGAGAAGAAAACACTTAAAAATATCAGCTTGGTTTAACCATAGTTCATAGGCATACAAAACGAGACCCTTGAAAGGTACTTGGTCATTGCAATACCAAAAAAAAAAAATTAAACGAATTACACAGATTTCCTCTTCATCGCCAAATACCCATTTATCTTTTTTAAGGAAAGTGAATGTGAACAAAAATGCACATAGGCCTGAAATTTCTGTTGCATGCTCTCAGAGCTATCTTTCAAATCAAGCCATGTTAAGCGCCTTCCAATTCAGTAAGTAGAACTAATTGTACTGGACCTAAAAATAATATGGCTGCTTATGGAAGTTACTTCAGTAAATATAATCATATAGGCCATAGTCATGCATATCTAACACATCATGCATATCTCAATGTTTCAGCATGAAAAGGAAGCCCATATTCACAATATTTCAACATGACAAGGAATTTCTGGGCTCCAATTCAATCAATTGCCCAACTAAATCAACCCATCCGTTAAAGATATAGTACTAGTATACGGAGTACATGAAGAAAGAAATATAGCAATGCAGACATCAGTATCGATTACCTCTCCCCCTCTACGGCGTTTTGTGGGTGGGATATACTCTGTACCATACCCACCCATTTCTACTGACCTCCTCATCACCGTTCTTTCAGTTATCCTCCTGTCATTTCTTCTTGGCCGGAGGTCATCTAAGTACTCATCTCTCATCTCAGGCTTTTTCTTCTTTTTTTTCTTCTTTGCTTTCTGACGTTCTTCCTCCTCTCTCTCCCTTCTAATGGCAGCTTCATATCTTCTGAGCTCATCTAACCTTTCTTGCTCTTCCAGTGCCCTCGTTTGTTCCTCGTGTAGCCTCCTAACCCTCTCTTCTTTATGTCTCTCAGCAATTCTCCTCTTCTCTTCCTCCTCCCACCATCGTTTATCCTCTTTAGTTTTCCTCCTTGCTGGCTCATCATGAAAATGTTTGTTTTCCTGCTCCCTGTGCTTCTCAAAACTTGACAACTCAATAATTTTCTTTGTCTTTCTGTATTCAAGGCCAGTGCTTCCTTCCTGACTAATTTGGTCCACATCAATTACCTCCTTTGGTCTTTTTATTACGATTTTCTTGCAAGGCAAGTCTCTATCTGCCTCCATCGGTGGCCTTATTACAATAGAAGGCTTGTGAGACTCAACCTGGACATCTGCAGGTTTCCTCTTCTTGGAAAAAATGATTTTATGAACTTTGACAAAAGGCTTGTCCCCAGTTTCAGCATCTGATGTTACAGGTATCTCTGGGCTCTGTGAGCTAGCAGCAGTATGTTTCTCAGGAATCTTGTCCGTGGAGCCACATTTGACCTTCAGAACTTTTGCCTTCAAACCTGGCTTCTCATCCTCGGGAGCTTCTACCAGAGCAATTTTTGTTGCACTTTTTGGTATGAACTTCTTTGTAAGAATTTTCTGTTGGGGCTGAGCCATGTGATCTGAAGATATAGATTTCCCAGACACCCTTTCTGCATCTATGCTTTCAATTCGGGCTTCCAAATCTTCTCCATACTTGGGGCAATTCTTATTGGTCCGCATGTGACCAAGCTGGTTATCAAGAAACAACCATTATAGGATATATGATATTTATATCAAACAGTGTAAAACTTTCACTGCAGTCCACACACCTGACCACAAGCTCCACAGACAAAACTTTCTCTGGCTGATTTCTTTTCCTTGAGAATCTGGTTACAAAAAGGAAGCATGTAAGTAGGTATTATATCGTCTCATGTTTTTCATTTTATTGAGAGAGCGGCACCTGTTAAACCTAACATTGTAGATACATGTAATCACGGGAAAACGATAAAGCTTGGGCTTGACAACAAAAGACACAGCCCACTGCAGGAGGCTTCCATCACTGCAGGTTCTAGGAGTGTCAGTCTCACTGACTGCGAGACTGTTTCCATAATTCGACCCCATGACATCCAGGTTCGATGAAGCAATCTTACCATTGCTTCAAGACTTGACCTTTTGTAATGTTTTCCAATTCACATGAATGCTATACTCTGTTTCTTTTCTTTTTTTTCATTTTCTTGAGAGAGGGAGAGAGAGAGAGACTTGCCGTAATTCCATCGCCCAATATCTTAACTTTCTTTTTGAGTAATCCCATGTGTGTAATGTCATTCTTTTTCTTAGCCTTTACCTTTCCAGACATGGCCCTTTTAACAGGAAAACTTTCCTCCTGCCAGCACAAAATAAAACGAATAAACAAAAATGAAGTGTTTTAACTCTAATATCATGAGTTGTGTTCTGCTAGGTAGATGTGGTTGGTGTCAAAGTTGAGTGGATCCAAGGGGAAATAGACTGAAAATCCAACTAAACAACAAAACCAAGTTCCCACCTCCATTTGGTCTTTGATGATATACTCATTCGATGCATATGGTCCATCAGGTTGGGTGATTTGCTTGACAACCGATCTAGCTTTCTTAACCCGTTCGGCATAGTCAAAACCAAATCTTGATTGTGAACCTGGAGCAGATCCCACTTGCTCCCCCACAGCTTTTGTTTTTTTCTTCTTCTTCCGCTCAGCTTCATCATCTGCAGAATGATTTTCCATTTTCATGGTTAGAGACATACATGGGATTAAAAGGATACATTTCACGATCATGTTCACAGCAAATGATGAAGTTTAGATTCGTACCCAAACCAACCCTTCAAACACCCCTATGTTTATCAGACAGAAGCCAGGTCATTCATTATGCAATGTCGTTTAGTTCAAAAGGCCCAATTTCTGGTTCGTTTAGGCATAAGAGGGATATCTGGGAATCTCAAGAAAAGGTCCAACCATGTCACACCTTGACAACAAATCCGATTCAATGTTTAAAATACCCTGAGTCGGCTTAACATTTTCATGCAGAATAGAACCAAATTCCATTATAAAAACACATCACAAACTTGTATCATCGTCTGTCCAGCATTTTTAGATTTCCAAACAGTCAAGTAGCTGGTCATACAATAGTGTTGACATGCATCATCCACAATCACAAAAGGACATAACCGATCCACATGTCTAGTCATGGTCTAAATTGGCTCTCATCAACTCAAAAAACTTATTCCGTGTCTCAAAGGGGCATGGAAAGCAACTGGTTTCATCATATTTCAGTGGCAATAAAAACAGCACCAAGTAGAACAACAAAATTACAGTACAAAAATCCCTTACCATCCATGAGAATCCTGCATAATTCTGCTGCTTCTGCAGCCTCATCTTCAATTTCCTCTTCTGCCTGAGCTTGAGATGGTCGCCTCCTCATTTTAAGCCACTTGACGCCATTTGCATTGTCATGCTTAGACTCGTAATTACCCTCTTCCCCTTCTTCCCCTTCTTCTGCATCCAGCAGATTTTCCAAGTCTCCAGCAAAGGAATCCAGATCACTATTTGCTTCAGAGTCACTCTCATGTTCTTCACCATCAACGGCAGAAAGACTTTGAACTTGTCGATCCCAAATTTCCTGGCATTTTTCTCTAGTCTGCTGCTGCAGCTGCAAAAAGGACATCCGCTGGCCACGCGCATATTTGCTGATAGTTGTTGGATCAACCTTGACTCCTGACGCAGCTTGCTCGCTTGAAAGCTTGCGTATCATAGCAATTCGATGCCACCTTGTCTGTTTTGCAATTTGCTCCTCTGGAACATTGAACTTAAGGAGAACCTGGAAAGAGAAATCGTTATTAAGAACTTTAAACGAAGCATAACATTCTGGCTAAGATATAACTATTTCAACATTATTTTTTGCAAAACAACACAATTTGAAATAATTGCTCAGAAAAATCATTGTCTCCGCCCGAAATATGTAACTGAGAAGAGGAGGGAGAAGTTCAGAATCAACTTATCCAAATAAGTCTCATCTTGGGTTCAGAAATCTCAGTATCGAAGAGTGATGTCTTCCCATAACAAGAGCATATCAAACTAAACTGTATCCAACAGGAATTTCCTTTCCTTTTACAAATAATATTACCCTTTAAAAATGAAAATGTGCAAGAAAAAACATCCACTCTCAAAATGTGAATCCAATTATACATATAAGATTAGCCTGTGACAGTTATCATGTGACAGTGAATAGATTGCATAAGTAGGAAATAAATATTCAAACAATTAAACAAACACTTTGCCTCAAGTTACATCATAGAACCATGGCAGATCGACTCACTATTTAGCTTTGAATAATTAGTGTCAGTGTGACCTTGAGCCATAGATAATGAAAGTTTTTAACATCCTTTGTGTGAAGAGAGATAGCTATCCCACATCAGAAAATTATATAGATCCACAATTAGTTAATATATTTGAGGGGCCACTCCACCTATTACTAAATAATTTTGGGTTAGATGCACTAACATGATATATTAGAGCTGGCCTCGAATAGTTGGTGAGCTAAGTCTCTATCACCCAGTTGAATTCCTATTTATCAGTCTTTTTCGGTTCAGCTCAAGTCTGCATGTGTTCTGTTTCAGTTCAATTTGTTAGCCCACCGGCAAAGTCCTCGTCGCATGTGAGGAAGGGTGTGAAGAGCGTAATACCACATCAAAAAATTATGTAGATCCAAGCTTAGTTTATATACTCAAAGGGTCACTCCACCTATTACATTTTAAGTAGGATGCTCTAACACTTTGTAGCAACCTTTACCACTACCCAACTTTTAAGATTTGAAATTACAAGATAACTTCAAGAGCCGATTAAGAATCTCACATTTCATGCAACCCATTGACGTAAGGGTTGCCGGATGTAAAAACAAAATAAGATAGTAGCAAGAAGAACTATATACGATGTACAGATGGGTAGACCGTATAGCTGATAAAACATCTACTCTTTACCATCCTTTTGTGAACCTTGTTGGTTTGAAGGCCGACAGATTTCAAGTAAGAATATTAACAAAAGGGTCTCTTATCTTGATAAATCAGCGCACCTCTCGTGCAGCTTCCATGCTCAATCTACGTAGATCAGCATCTGTTCCGGTTACATTGGAACCTCCTCGACTAACAGCCGTTTTTTTCTTCAATGTTGAATTGGATATCGGTGCTTTTGGAGTAGCACGGACATAACTGAAACCTAGGCCCCGTCCTGATGGATCACCAACACCAGTAATTTCCAAACGCTCAATATTTTCCCTGTCCTGTATAAGAGTTATAAGCAACAGATCGAAATCAGATATATGGGACAGAAATTCAAGATCTAAAAAATTAGAGATAACAGTTTCTAAATCAGACTCAAAGGTACACTACATTTGGTTGTGGAACAAAAATACAACTCATTACGGATGATCCAATTGAAATAGCAGAAAGAAAAAGAGAAAGCATCAGATATCCAAGGTTGACTGAACATCCAAAGTCAGCTGAGCAGTGAAACCAGCGTTGTCATAGTGCTTTTAAGATGGCCCCTGGCCCATTGCCTGGCCTGCTTTTAGAGGCACAGTCATGTCTGCAGTCCCACAATGCGGAGGCCAGAGCATCCTTAATGAAAGATATGCCCACCAATAACACATAAGCAAAGAGATGACGCATAATGCTACCTACGCTCAGATAATATTGATTAACCTGACTTGTACAGGCAACAAAATTGCTACTCAAGTTCCATGGAGTTATCTGCAGTTCCCTCTCGATGTGTGATGCAGCAGCTAAAGCGATCGCTTCATCAGGAAGCTGATTCATTGCAGACAAAAGGCCAGTGGCATGAGTCAGCCTGGTAATCCCCAAACGCTTCAGCCTGTGCAGGCCAGCTTGCATGCTTTCATAGGCACAGACCTAAGGAAAAAAAGAAAATGATAACAATAAGAACATAATAAATGGCGAAAGCAACAAGTAAACAAGTGAACCGTACGAACTTTTTACTAATATAAAATCAATGATTGACAACCATGTGAAAAGCAACAATAAGCATCCATTGGAAGACAAACATTTAGCTCACATGGAATTGCAGAGCATAGCCACATTACATAGACTGATGGCTAATGCAAAATACGTAAATCAACTATTTCCCAAGTAGTAGTCAGAGTTATGGCTGGTAGGAAAGCAGACCCTAGTTCAAAATCCTTTCCCCTTTTAATACAGTAAAGTGAATAGATCTAACTATGAGGATTCAATCAGGACACAAGAAATGGATCCCATGTCAAAAAAAATTTGGCAATGATAGTTCCTGTTTAGAGAGTATATGCAATTTTCATGCAGGATCAAGTTGATCCCAACTTGGTACAGGCTAAAAAAAAGGGGAAGGGGAAAGGGGGGGGGGGGGGGGGAATATTTTAAATGTACCAGTCTCTTGTTTCTAACTCATCATGTGCAGCATAAATGAACTTAAGAAATGGCATCTATGATACCAGCTCTCATAAATTCCACAATCAAATTCCTTTGGTGAAGAGGCAGAAAACATGATAAAACAACTTTCCTATTAAAACATAACCATAATTAAACTTTTCTAAGCTTAAAACTTTTTAATCAGTAACCGACACTTCCCACAAAATTTTCCATTAGTAAAAGACATCTGATGAATTCATAAGGATCAAATGTGAATATTGAATAGGGAACTTACATTTTCGGGTGTCACCATCCTCCTCAGTTCCTCCTCCAATGGAAGGCGAAAACTGCGCCTCATAGCCCAAAGAAGATGCCCACTTGATCCCTTCTGATAAATTGCATACATGTAATCATCAAGGTAAATAGTGAATCCCCACACACTAACAAACTAGCAAGAAGAACATAGCATAATATACTAAAATCTCTTATTAAAAAAGCTCTCAAAAATGATTTTATGCCCCAATTTTTTCTATTTTTTTGGGAGGGGGTGCAAGGTGAAAGAACTTAAAAGTTTAAAGTAGCACCCCAGAACTGACACCAATGCATGATTACCTGCAGATCAGCACAATGCTTTAACCTTTTCCGAAGAAAGGCTTCTGACAAGCTAGGAAATTGGGCAGACAGCTCATCCGCACGTATGCAAGGCTGCAAGCTACCCTTTTCAACAGCACGAAACTCACGATACATGTACACCAATAGCCTGTTCATGATGTATGTCTGAACAGTTTTTGATCCAGGAGACATTACTTCCATGTGAGGCTCCTACAGAGAAGAATTCGCAAACAGATCAGACATATTTAACAATACAAAAGCTTCACATGTTGCTGAACAGTTTAGAAGTTTAGACAACACCAGCAAGAAGAAGTAACAGTCAAAAAAACTAAAATTGGCAAAGCCAGCATATTATCCTAGTGATTCCAGGAACAAATACTCAAGTTACAGGAGTAGTGTTTATTTAAATTTCATGCTCAAACCTAAATTAGTGATAAGAGAGTCCATGTTTTCATGTTTCAATAAAGTGCACCATCAATCAAAGAGTTTTTAAATTTTAGCCTGGACTGTCTGGACTGTAGCGTGACCATATATTTTTGGGCTGTCTTTTCCACATTATTATTTCATCACCAAACGATCTACTGAAAAATACCAAAGAGTAGACTCAAGAAAAGAAGGGGAAGAGAACAAAAATCAGGAAACCTAAATGATTGTGATCCAAAAATAGGACACACTATCATTCAATTCCAGGATTCCTGTACAATCGTGATGGTCCTACCACGACAAATTACCCCTCATGGTAACATCTAGGCAACCTAAGACTGGATAGATAAAATATGGCAAACAAGATAAGGTCTGTCCGTCCATAAATTTCTATAGATTTGAGAAACACACCATTTATTCGACCACCAATCCGTTTCAAAATCTTTACTTTTTTTTCCTTTTTTGTAGAGGACCTTCTTACACACATATCCAGCAACGAAATGTAATATAAAGCCTCACTAATTCATTAATGATCGACTCAATTCTCAGATGCCAACAAGTCTTCTCATAACACAAAATCAACAGCCAATAACCAAGAACAAAGAAGTAAACAGCTTGCACCGTTTGGATCTACCACAAGGACAAAATACTAATGGCACTTTTCCTATGTCGATTAGGCAACAAACAAGCTGGGCAAACATAGCCAGACACTAATACTAAAGTAGTAGAAAACAGTAGCATAAATTACAAAGAGATCATCCAAAATTGTTTTTTAGAAGTTAAAATGGTGCACGATAAGTCGCAATCTGAAAAGGAATATAAGAGAAGAATGCCACTATAACCTGTTGTCCAACAACATCAATCCTGTCGATGCGTCTGATGGAAAGCTTTCCCTTTGCAGAACGAACCAACAAATAGTCAGTTGATGGAACTTTATGAGAAAATATAGGAGCTCTATACATGTTAGTTTCAAGACATGATTGGCTACAACCAGCTTTTATATCTCCAAGAAACGGAGATTTATCAGCAGGATCAAGTATGATGACACTCCCCAAATTATTATTTCCACTACGCAACAAGATGCCAGATTGATCGCCTGGTGCTGATTTCTGGTAGTAGGTACACAGCCTTGCACCCATTCCCACATTTCCCAGGAGTAGAGGTCTTTCCTCACAGTACCTACATATATTATGCAGGAATTAGTGTCTTAGTGAAATCTATGCTCCACAATTATAATAACGGCATTTGAAAACAAATCATATATGTAATACAATAGAAAAGTTAAAACAACCAGGGCCCAGGACTCTCTCGAAGTTTGCAATCTAAAACACAGAAGCCCATGAAGCCCCTTAATAACAGAAAACAAAAGAGAAACTTTCTCTCATTTTTTTTAAATTAACCATTCAATAAAAATTGTTCTTGTCTTCCCACCAAGTAGCCTGACTGGGCTCCATGCCTCCATTAAGTGAAGAACACATTCAGAATCTCCCACACAAATAGAGAATGTAGAAAGGAATTAAAATCGACTTTCTAAACCTTACAGCCTTCTACAATATAAGAAAATAGAGCCTACACTTCTGAAAGTTGGTCTTTCCAATCTCCATAGATAGAGATATGAATACTACAGCACATTGATCTTTAATAGAAAATAGTTCTCAAGTGGCGAAGCGAAGCCCAATAACTTTTCAATTTGCAAGACCAACTGAGAATAAAAAATCCAATTGAGAGGAGGGGAAGTTCAAGATATGTACTGTATTTGTCATCTTCATCATCCTTCCAAAGATTACCTGTCGCCCAATATCTAAACTACACAGTCAGTAGCTATGATGCCAACTACCTTTGCACATAAAACATGCCAAAATTTTATTAACTGCTAAAACCTCGTTATATGGATCCCATTATGACCAATTCTCTCACTGGGTCAAAGTCTCTCTGACCTTCTTATACTTGGAAAAATGAAATAAAATCTGATTTAAAAGAGTTTATAGGAACACTAAGCAAATGACCAAAGTACTTCAATAACCACCTGAGAGGATATACATGGTTCAATGGCTTTGCATGATTATCCTAATAATATATATTTTCCAAAACAAATCAGACAACTTGCCCAATAAGACAATCTCGTGTGTTTTGTCAATTTTTCATTAAGCAATACCCCTGGGTTTAATTAGCTATCTGTTTGCTCATAAAAGATCCATCTTACATTTGAAAATGGTAGCAGTTATATGCCACACAAGTATACCTCTCTTGTACAACAATTATAAGTTTGAGATACCACTGCCACATCCCTATCACGTTCAATATATTGTGGTTACACTGTTTACAGTATCTTAAGAGCGAATTTCAATGGATTACCCCAAATTACAGGATATTTGACTGAATTTGTGCAAATTAATAAAATACTATTATAAGGGGGGCCTTCTCCCTGACTTCTGAACCCACATTTTCTTGTTTTTTCATCAAATATTCTAAATTTAGCCAGGCAGAATTCTGAACACATTCTACTCATTCAAAATGGGACACACAGTCCAAAGATAATTTTCAGCGAATTTCTGCATAAAGTTGTTGAACCTTCACACCAAGGATGAAGTAAGCTTAATTAGCATGAAATCAGAACTAAGTTCTGCAAACAAACAATATAAAACTCGCGTACGATTATATTAAATTATATCACTGTAATATGGGAAAAAAATCAGTGATCGAAATTAAGTGCAGATCGCTAAAATCCTAATTTCCTTGCACAAGTATATCAAAAACTTAATTTATAATAGGCCTCTAATCTGATCAAGTTGCTGCACAAATCAATCTAACTGTATTAGTGGGGTGGACTCATCTAGTAAAATGTAAGGAAAAGCTAAACCCTCAGACAAACAGCAAGACATTGAGCCACAGCATTTAGCCAGCTATCTTTCCATTCTACCCAACAGATTCAAGGTAAGCCAATCAAAGTACGGATAGAATAAGAACATATGAACTAACAGATGAGACTTACTGGATGTATCTGCAATTCAAAGGGAAGCCCATCTACAGAAAAATGATTAACAAGATTTCTGAGTAACTTACTCCATCAGGAAAACATGGCCATCTTTCACTGAAAGATCGGATTTCTTCTTAAATGCCCCAGGAGGACGCAAAGACTTATTCTCACCAGGAAGCTTCTGTGCCCGTGGCAACAAATGTATATTTGTACGTACCAGATGCAGTAAGGAGTTTGGTTGAACATTTTGCACAGCAAGAGATCTGTGGTCTTCAAGCTCCTTTCCAGAATAAAATATTTTCACAGGTTCAGATGGTTTGAAATCTACATAGGCAAAAGTAAAAAGTAAGCTCTAACTTTTCCAGAAAAATGTAGAGAAATGAACAGTTAATAGATTCTCAAGTATAACATAAAAACATTAAGAATCCAATATAGAAAGAGCATACCCAACTTCTTTGAAGTTTTTGCTTTGACTGAAGAAATGTTCTCCTCAGCATCCACGTGAAGCTTACTTCCTTTGCCTCCCAAGCTCTTTAATATGATTTTCATTGGTCCTTGTGTAGGTAGCTTTCCTTGTTCCTTGCGCACGACTACATTATCATGTGGATACCATAATGCTTTTGGTCGATGAAAATGTGCAATATCTTTACTGCAAAACAGTAGGTAAAGACTCCACAGTTAGTTTAGACAACATGGAGCACATATATTTGGAAAATAAGATACCTAAGGAAAACCACAGAGGATCAGATGCAAGTAGAAACAAGATTGTGCACTAGTAAGATTGATTCCGCGTGACTATGGCACATGCATAAGCAAAAGAAAAATGTGCGATACTGTCTTAGGATGCACATAATCAAAGCATATGTGTTAACAGAAGATATCTCAATACACATCCGCTGCGTCATAAAAACTAAATGTAAGTATGCAAAAATATTAATCAAACTCTGTACCCACAGGCTATCATGTCTTCTTTTTTTTAGATCCATGGACACATATGAAAAATAAACAACCAAAAGAAAATCAATTATTTATGAATTCATAATAACCAATATTTCAACATATCACATATCAAATCTGATTTGTCAGGTAAATTGCATGTTCCGCCAACACATAAGCTAATAATTAACCACAAAACATTAACAGCTTAAATGCTTTAGGACATAAAACACAATTCCCTCTGAAGAGATCAGATAAATCTGGGAAAAAGTTCAGATCTTGAACATCACAGAGAAGAGTCAACACCTAATTCTTATTTTGTGCAATTCTTCGGTGCTTCCCATAATACAAAGATAACATTAACAACTTCAAAAACAAAGCAGCAGCAGCACATGCCTCTCTGCAACATGAAATACTAAGGTATATGACATGCTACGATATCTGATGCATAATAGAACAGCAAGAACTCACATCGAGTTGACTTCTACCATCCAATATAACTAAGGCACCCATGGAGAAAGAATTTACAAAGATGTAGCACTTATCCTTACTTGCTTAGCTTTGGTTTCATTGTCTGCAGCTTAAGTGCAGGTATTGAATGCAAAACTTTAAGACCATGAGAAGTGCGTTTTTTAGAATGTGATTTCAGTTGCTGAGAAGATTTCCTGTTTGAATAGAATTTGTCATTAGCAATATTGAACCGCCCACCAGATGGACCTCCAGGACAATGTAGCTCAAGAGAATCTCCACCACTGGACTTTGTAGAACGACTTATGATCATAGCCCCTGCATGAGGCCGAAGATGCTTATACTCCTTGTTATCTAAAATTTCAAAAAGCATTTGTTCATCTTGCAGATCAAGAATTAGCTTTGGCTTCGAAATAGAATGACGTGGTTCCCAAATTATATTGTTCAACCAAGATCCTTCCAGTACATCTCTGTTCTGCAAAGCAAGATAGTTAAAACGCCGTATGGCATCACTCCTCAGAATCTCTTCGGTGGCACCATCCTTTCTAACATCTGAATGGTGATTATCCATACCCAACCGAGATTCCAGCCTCAAAAGTTGGGGATGATATATACTCTTTGAGGAGATAGGGTCTGTTGCTTCTGAAAATATTCTCGAGCCAAAAGACTCCAGAGAAACAGGACAGCTATGCAGAAAAGAACTATGATCCTTTTCATCAGGCTCCAACTGAAATTCTGGCCGAAAAATTTGTGATGCAACCTCCATTTCTGTTTGTTTATCAGCCAAAGTTTCTAAGTCTAGGCCAGATATTTCACAACTCTCTGTAGCATTGTCACTAACTGTCGGAGAATTGTCCCAAATAATTCTATCCTCCCAGTCTTGCTGATCAAGAGGGTAAAATTTAGGAGACAAAGTTGAATTCCATTCCGACAAATTGAACGCAACCTCCTCTTTCATTGGTTCAGCACTATGACAAGAGTCCTTCCTTTGCTCATCTACTTCTGGAGCTATTGTGCCAGGCCCCTGAACAACCCCAATTTTTGCTGATTCTATCTCATCGTCCATCAATGATAATGCGTCCTCTTGAGTTACCTCTGCCCATCTTACACAAGAAACACGTTGGCTAGATCCCTTCAAAAATGCTTCTTCATCCTCTTCCACAATATCAGAAGGATCCAAGGTCTTATACTTCTCTGGCAAACAAGATAGGAGAATTAGCAAGATTTTTGAAAGGCAATTTGGGCTAATGCGAATCATGGGTTAAAACGAGAATGCTCTTCTCACTCTCAAAAGAAAGCTAAATTGAGAAAATGTTTATATAAAACACCACTAAGCTGGGGAACAAGGAAACATTTGGATTTTAAAGTTCTATAACAGGTAGAAGTGGAGAAAAAACATGAATTTTTAAGTCAAACGTCCATCATGCCATTGCATAAAAGGTGGAGACGCCAAGTCAGGAAGATTTGTTCTATTTCTCACTAAATAGTTTCAGGAACAAAAAATACATACCCTTACAAACAGAATACCTATGGTCCCTCTTCTCCGCATTCTTCAGAGGCTCATTAATACAAAAAATTTCTGAAAACCGCAAAATCATCATCCCTTCTTGTATGCAAAGGACAGGTAGTGGTGTTGAACTTTTACCATCAAGTGACTCGTTCAGAACATCCTCCTGATAAATTATGCAGAATAGCAGTGCAACTTAACAAAAGAAACAGATTACGAGACGAATAGAATAAAACTGCGAGGCAATATGGACAACAACAATAACCTGGAACAAAAAATTATAGTAATTTAAGATTAGCACAACATTTATCATGTCCTGTGCACCAGAAAATAGGCCCATATATACAGGAGAAAATGCTCCAGAAGTGTCAAAGATTAGTTTACATTAGAGTGCCAACTTCCTATTCAACTGAGCAGAAGGTGCACTATGAAACAATAAAGAGAGAGAAGTATTCCATTATTTATAGGTCCAACCATGACAACACGGTTAAGACATCGAAAATGAAAAAACGAATGACATCTACGCATAAATGTATAATGAGACACTTTATATAATCAGCAAGCCCTACGCAATAGCATGCCACACTGTTGAGGATACTAGGCGACGTGAGTGTGAGTTGCTGAATAGCTGGATTTTAACCATCTCAATATTTACATTAATTAACACTCTAGTTTCTATTGTTCGCCGCAGTGGAGAGAGTCTCATGTATTGAGCTGCCTTTTAAAATTTCTCTACCAGTGGTGGAAAAGCATTCATTGCAACTATAACATCATCTAACGCCTATAGCAAGCACACCATGATTTGTTGAGGATACAATCATACAACAGAAATATTCCACCTGTAACCTTATCCAACATCTTTCTAGCAAGAAATCAGGACTAAGCTCCTGAACATAAGCAAAAACATAGCTAGGAACAAGAATCAAAATTTCGTTTCAGTGCATTGTTTCGGTCACCTATGAAACGAAAATGTTTCGACGTGTTTCGGAAACATTTCGAACCATTTTGAAAATAGAATTAAAAAAATTAAGAATTATTTTTTCAAAACATTGGTCGAAATATACCAAAATATCTTGAAATACTTTGAAACATTCTAAAATAATTGTGCAAATGCATTGAAATATAACAAAATATTTCGAAACATTATGAAACACCTCGAAATATAATTTCGATTTATTTTGAACTCCTTGAAAACGGAAACGTTTCGGATATTTCAACCATTTCGAAACGATATTTTGATCCTTGGCTCGGAAGTACATATTAACTGGCGAAGATGTAATATAAATTGAAATAACCAAAGAAGAGAACCTCAAGAGTATAAACAACGAAGGAAACGAGAGACAAAATATAAAATCAAAACATATCTCCACTAAAGACTAAATTAGAACATATGTATGACAACACTAACCTCCAGAAAATCTGCCATATCAGTAGCCAAATTGGCAGTTTGAAAAGTGTCCATAGACAGATCATACTCTGGATTTTCCACTTCAGCAAGCACCCCAAGATTATCGTTGTGCTCACCTAAGATGAAGTAATGAAAGAAGTTAACCTTTTAAAAAATGAAAAAAAAAAAAAAACACAGAACAGTTTCATTGTTAGATGTTATAACAGTAATGGTAGCACCATATGTACACATAACCAATTCAGTGATTTCGTAACATCTCAAATTACTACTTCCGATGTCACATTAATCAATAATTCATTTGCATTAGTATAATTTCGACACATTGGAAAGCAATGAACAAAGTGAGACACCACATTTATATTGTCTGACTGCATAGGCGAAGAAGTAGAACTTGCTTAACTCTCATCAAGTCACAAATACAAAAAGAAAACTTAAGTATACAAATGGAGGCACAAAACCGCACCCAACAAAAACTGCAGGATTCCGAGCCACCAACCACCATTTAGTGTCCTATGTTGCTTTAAATGTATATAAACAAATATCACTATACGAATGGCCAGAGGCTCCAGCTCTCACGCTTTTTCTCACTCTAGTAACATGGGTCTGAACTGATATATAAAAACTCCAAACAAATTCATTAGCCTACAAACAAATAGTTGTCCACCTAGAGCTAACAAGTAGAAGTAACTTTGAAGCATGTAGCCGAAATTTCAGAGAAAGAAACAGCTAACTTATATTTGATATGAATCCATCGGACAATTACATAAACGAGGAATCATCCGGACATCCCATGCAAATTGAATCTGTACATCATATTCCAAAAAGCATCCCCTATAACAAGTTGAAAGAACAATAAAGAAAACCACCATAAAGAGCATGATAAAGAATAAGTAGCCATCAACTTCAGTCAATTTTTCAACCCTATATTTCCTAGGAAAAAGTGTATACATTCACCTGATAAAAACTAACAGAGTGAATAAATTTCACAGGGGGACTTCAACTCGAATTAAAATTTTGAGTCATGAAATTCAAAATTCCAAAAACATACCACAACCCAAAATCTAAAGATAACTGAAAAATATGTAAGAAACTAAAAAAGCCTAACCAATCTCATTAGGAGTGCACATTTATATTTTATTTTCCCGAAGAATTTATGTTTTCATTACTTCCAAATAACAATGCATTTAGACATATGAAGTTTGCAAATTTCCAATCTTTTTCCCTTTAACAACAATCAAATACAGAGTTCCGTTTGAGTACCTTATTATCTAAATCTGATAATAATTGAGACCGCAATAGGCAATTAGGTACCTAGACCAAAAGAATCATTATATAGTCTTAGAAAATTGATTGTACTTGCCAAATTCCATGAGGTCACTTGCTCTTGTATCTCAACTCAATTCATGATCATGATGCTTAAGAAAATTGAAGATCAAAGCGAGATGTGATGAAGAAGCTCAAGTTACATAGCAACATGTGAAGATTCTAGGAATCCATCAAGCTTAGGTGAGGTAAAAGGCCTACATATATAGTTGCCTTCAATAGTTTAACTTAGGTGAAGAAAATGGATTTAGGTGTTAAGAATGGAAATTTGTAACATGACTCTCATATTTAGGAGTACAATGTTTTTGAAACTTTGACCTTTGGTTCTGAAACAATATAAGAGTCATGGTATGTAGGCTTTTTGAGTATTGCCCCTTGGTGCTCAAAAAGTTGATGAGAGCATTTGGTTCAAGTCAAAAAACTAATGAATACCACTCTCTAAGCACTATAGCAGTTCACTCTCTAAACACTCGAGCAATCCTTCCAGCAACTAAATTGCTTACTCCCCAATTAACAGTTATTTTCACCCCCTATAAATGAAACATCTTTATTCGACCATAGAAAGAGGCTACAAAGAGATTCCAGAGGCTTGAGAGAAGAACTCTAGCATCCCCTATCGAACCTCAATCTCTACATGATCAAACTTCTGAATGAAATCAACCTAGACTTTAGAGAACATGTAGAAAACCCAAAACCAGCAAAACAAAGGATCAAATGAGGATTCTGAGAGAAGAACAAGGAGCATGCCAAGGAAGGATTGAGGAGCTCAATTCTTCACCTATTAAACCTAGTCATCAAGAGCATGCGGTGAACTCCGGAGTGAAGATTTAAGAGAAAGAGCATCTAACTATGGTATTGGTTGAAGTATAAGTCTTTAAACTTGAAATCTAACTTTGAGGCTAGTCGATTAGGTTGGATGGACTAAGGTCCCATCATTTTTCTCGAGAGGGTTTCTATGTAAATTGCTTGTGTTTTGGTTGTGATTGTCTCCTTCCTATCTCTTTTATATACTTGCAATTTTAACACCCTTAAATGCTTAATTGATTAATTTCTTGTGAACCGTCTAGCGGCTGTTGGTCGATTTACTTACATAAAATCAAATGAATTTAAGGATATTGAGAGTTTGGAGATATTGTTTGGATTCCAAAAATTGGTGGTTTGATGCAATTGGAATTTTTGTATTAATTGATTAATTAATCGATAATTGAATGAATTATGTTTTAATTGGGCATTAATTCAACGTTTGAGTGCACCTCCCTTAAGGTTAGGGCTATTAAATACAACGAGATAGGTCTAACTTTGGTCTGGCTCTAGCTCTGGCTCGGATCGTTTTTTGGCTCACTCAAGTTTGTTCAATTTGTAATACAAGTCGAGCATGAATAGAATTTTAAGCTCGTTTCTATACGAGAACACCGGTGCTCGAGCTATTTGGTTGGATCATATAAGCTGGGGACTATTTTATTGTTAAACTTATTTAATTTTTATACCTCTTCCAGTCAACAACTCAACATACAAATCCCAAATGCCAATTAACTCACTCACCGACTGATTGCATGACTAACTTCTAATCATGTGACTAATAAAAATTAGTTCCAAAAAGATTTTGCCTAACCAAACAAACAAGACCAACTGTTCCAAGAGAATCCTCAAGTCCCCTCTCTCTCTCTCTCTCAATTCTCAAACCCTAATCTCAAGCCTCAGAGTCGAGGTCGATTCCTTCAAGTAACACCAAAATCAATAGATCTAAACCATCTCGTAAGTTGTTCTTGTCTTCTCTTTAACGCTACACTACATCATAAAATACTATTATGGTAGAACTCATGTAGATAAACAGATCGAGGGACAGTGACTCTTTATTTACTATTATGGATTATTGGTGCTAGTGTTCTAATAGATGAACAATTTTCTGTAGGGGTGGCAGTATTGCGATGGTTGTACTCATTGATGGTGATTGGTGGAAATGTTTAAAGTGAAAGACAACTCCTTTTTGTGTTTATCATTTTTTTTTAACCCTACTCCATTTAGCTTTGGTTTTTTTGATGCAAAAGTTGATGTTTATTTATATTAGACAGTAATTTATACCTTTTCTTATGTTAACCCAACAATGAATGATCAATTACAATTTCTCTATATATATTCTCTTGTTGAACCTATGGTGTTTGAGAGAGTAACAGGTTCCATTTTTTGAGCTTGAGTTTGAGCCTAAGCTCAGATTCGAGCCCGAACAGCTTGTTTTTCTAACTAGTCAAGCCTAAACAAAATTTTAAGCTCTGTATCCGAGCCCGAGCCGCGCTTGAGCAGACCTTAAAAAATACGAGCTGAGCCTGACCACATCAAGGCTTGCCAATGCTCGGCTTGTTTAACACCCCTACTCGAGGTCAATACATGAATTCAGCATGTCGAGGTCGATCCTTTATTACACTCTTATATGGGTTTTGCCTTTTTTTGGTACACAACAAGTTTAACCTACATAAAATTTTAATACGCTATAGAAGCAAAAAAATGTTTATGGATATCAAATTTGATGCAAGGGAATGATAGCGAATATGATTAAACAATACCATCAACTTATGTGCATCAATAACATAGACTAAGGATGCTATATTGAACCTGATGAAGAAATAGTTTGAAATCCAACATTATTATCCACCACCTCATGTTGTTTTTCAGTATCTTCATTATCACCATCACCATCACCGTCACCGTCATCGTCATCGTCATCGTCATCATAATTTTCATCATCAAACACAGAAGTTTTGTTCTCCAAATTAGCCACAGAAAATTGTGAAGGAAAGTAGTCCTTTTTTGGCAACAAATAGTCCTCTTCGGTGGCAGCTTGGATCTCTGGTCCCTCATACTGCTCTTCAATATCTTCATAATCAACTGCATCTTCAGCCTTTTCATCATAATCTAGTGGCCAAAAAAAACATAACCGGGACAGAATCAGAAGACCAAATTGCTTAACAACAAAAGTAAAACTAATTTTTACTTCTTCAATGTTGAAACAGTAATATAGACATCCCAAATGATAAAAGCAATGAAGAATCATGAAAAGAATAATAATATGAAATCATCACATCCTTGCCCAAAGTGGATGCTACTTGTGAAAGAGAGGGTACAACTAGTGGTTAAATGAGTTTCTTGTTACTAATAGAAATTAATGGAGCTCAACAGACAGCAGGATTATTTGCATTTTACAGCACCTAAAAATTAATAACCTCATTGTTTAACAGCTCAATGTGCAGAATCTACCAACAATATGTTCAAACAGCCAAATTATTTGCCTTTTACAGAACCTAAAATCAATAAGCTAGGTGTTCAACAGCTCTACCAAAAGATAATTATTCCGATTGCACAAAATCTACAATCAATACGTTGAACTGTTTAACATATGCTCCACATTTTCTCTCACTGCTTCAATGCATAAAGCCTTTGGTGCATGTCATGTATAACCATACATATAAGCCGAATACTAATGCACATTAAAACTTTAGCATTGCAAAAAGAAACACCTCTTCATGTAGTAACTTCTCCCCCCCTCCCCTTCTCTTTAATACATACTAATACAGCAGAAACCCCAAAAGGGTCAAAACCATCATAGTTTAAAGTAACAGCAGATATCAACTCAGCTACCCAAACCGTAGCAGGAACATCATCTTTCATTGCAAGACCGATGCACAGTCCGTGTTATACATGAGTCTCACTCGACTCGTGGCTGCCTTCAAGACATCTTGGGTGACTCACCGTCATCAATCACAGAGTACAGGGCAATACCACACATGGCTTGAATTTCCTGCCATGTCAAACTCCTTCCATTCAGCATTTCATATGTATCGCCCAACAGATCGTGACTGATGATCTCCGTGCCCCCCTCCAAGCCAATGGCCAATATCATTTCCTTGAACCATGTAGCCCTCACATTTTATACCGAAAGTGATACAGAATACCAAGAAGCCAATTATGAATTGTGAATTATGTTGTTAGTTAAATAAGGTATTTCTCAAGGATGTTTAAAATGCATATCTCACATGTAGACCAATCATAGATTGTACACTCAATGTTAGTCAACAATCTGACACAACACAAGCATATTTGGTTTTAACCCCATTCAATTTTCCCAAACCTAGCATCACAACTAGTAATCACACTAGTTTAGCAGCAGAGCTCAAAACATTTGACTTCTTTTACTACTAAACCGTGCATACTAAATATGTGTCGTGGAGATAGGATTTCACCCTTTGAAAAGTATTTCTAATTTGAAACAATTATTGAACTTAGTAAGCATCTATATACCACTGTTGCATTGTACAAATTATGCAAAAAAAAACAGAATGGAAAAATAATGATACCAACTGAAAATTAAAAAATTTAAAAAAAAACTGTGACAATGAGACGTAGTTTTCCGTAGCATACAACATCACCTTGTTCAGCAGCATCAACAGAAGAATGTGGTGATTTCACTGACAACTGAAATATATGGGGGGAAACAGCGTGTTATAACAAGGAAACATAATGCTGAGATCTAGTCTCCCGCTATACTCAAAATAAAACAAATTGAAACAAGATAAGCCCAAAATAAACCATGGGCCACAGGTACTCTAAATTCTAAAATATTGCTTTCAATATCATTCAAATAGAGCCAAGATATATCACTTGGATTTCCATACATCTATATCTGAAAGGGATGTCCCGAGCTTGTCAGCCAGCGCAGCAAGATGCTCCTTTGCATCCTGAGAAACATAACTACTGTGCTTTTAGCATGACAATTTAATCATTTACTTGGTAACCAATTAGAGAAGTATCAAGATGGGAAAATGAAAAACAAAAAGGACAAGCATCAAATAAATCAACAGGGAAGTTAAGCAAATAAAACAAATTGAACCAATGGAGTAATCGACACTTGAAGCGAAAAAACTTTCTTTTTCTTTCGGAGGTTGAAGAGAAAAATCTTTCATTTACTAGGAAACCCTGCATTTTAGTCGCCAGTTTTCACATTGACGCATAACTTGTCATTTGAGTATAACCTAAAAGAGGAGCTGCTACGGGCAACAACATATCAGGTAAGCTTATTTCATCCTGATTGTCTTGCAATTCCAAAGCAGTAATCAACTGATTTTTTTTTTTAAAAGTGTAGAAAATGATATATGCATAGAGAGTAACCAGGTAAAATTGAAAGTTTCTTGAGATGAGAGAGAGATTTCAATTTATCTTGTCTGTAAGGAAAAGGGGGAATGGGTGCACTTAACAACAAACTACCTGGAAACAAAAAAAAAGGTTTCCTGAACGGTAAAGGGCTTTCTGGTGGAGCTTCTTTAGATTGTCTAGTTAACCTATCTCACATCATGACATCTCTAATTTTAGCATTAGTCAGGCACTATATCTACATTTCAACCACCATACCTCATCACAAAAAAATTCAAGCTATATAAGTGAAATAGGTGACAATGAGCCGAATGGTCCCCCAAAGTCAAAGATGCAAAACCTTCAATGTTCAGTATTAGGAGCTCTAACCAATGGAGCAAATGGACCGACATATAAAAAATCATCCAATACACATTCAAAATCCCTCAATATAATTGTGCTCTCCTTTAAACGACAGCATTTCCTAGTCGGCATCCTGTGACCAAAAGATACTATCTAAAACAATTCAGAACCACCCAGTAAAAATATGCAAATGAAACCAAAGACCTTAAATATTCAAATCCAAAAACATGCAACTTCACCAGAAAGTGGGGATCAGAGTCTTGAACTTCAAATTCAAACATTCATAATTGGATCATAAGCTCTGAGAAGTAAACTTTAGAGTAGAAGAAATGAGTGTAAAATATTGGAAATTTTGAAAGAAAAAGTTTAAAGTCCAAATCGTTTACTATGCACATTTTTAGGGGTTCTATAGAGGGAGTTAAAACGATGCCAAGAAAAACCCCAAACTGTACTTCTAACATTTAAGCCCAACCTGAGAAAGTGCAACTTATTCTTAACTTTTGGTGGTGGTGGTTTAAGTTTTTTTTTTTTTTTTTTTGGGGGGTGGGGGTGGGGAGAAGGGGGGGTGTTTAACCACATAGAGAAAGCAATAAGGAAGCAAATCAGTGGCAGAAAACATGGAAACACTAGTCAAGGTACAAAAGCAATTGCAAGTATCTTCCACAAGTGCATCTGTCACACACACATACACCCTTAGCAAGTTCGTAAAACTGGTAGGCATTGAACATCATCCAATTTGAATATGCAATTCCGAATTAAAAATGTAAGGAACAATGCAGTTTGATCTTACTTTCTTGGACCGAAGAAAATGGACCAATTTGTTCATCGAGAGAGTTTTTTGTCAAGTCTTTCTTTGAATCATTGATTGATAAGCCAAGTTTCCCAATTTTACTACCCTCGATCACGATTTGGAAGTCCTAGGCTCCATTGAAGGTACACGTTTTTTCTTGGCACGAGCAACTCAATACAAATGATTTCTTCCAAAAATAAGACCATACTTTTCTATTTACGCACAATGGTGCATTCTAGGCATGAATGGGGAGACTAATATGGACCAGTTATTTTTGCATTGTTCCTTTGCTTCTAAATTGTGGAATAGGTCGTTGGGTACGATTGGAATCCTTTGGGTAATTCCTAAAGATTGTGTTTCTCTCTTTGTGATTCACTTAGATGGCTTTGGTTCAAGGCTAAGATTCTGTGGAGTAGCGCGGTCTTGGCATTGGTTTGAGTGGATTGGTAGGAAAGAAATGGGATGATATTTGATGAAAGAGAGACTCCTTGGGAAGATTTGTAGGACAAAATTACATTCACGGAATCCCTTTGGGCTTCCACGTCTAAAGATTTTGAAGGAACTACAAATTTTTGGCTCAAGTGCACAAAGATTGTTGAGAGTTGGAGCCCTATTTCTTGTCAAGTTCTTTCAGGTTAAGCTCTTAGTTTTTCCATTTCATTTCCACTCTCTTTCATATAGAGGACTTCTAGTCCTTTCATGCACTTTTCCATCTTTATTCTCTTGTTTCCGATCACAAAATAGACTTGGCCATTTCAGGACACACTAGCACGTATGCCCTAGCCCACCCTGAATGCAACACTGCAGTAGGTAAGTTTGGAATTGTAGTTCTGATGCAAAGACTTCATCTAAAATAGAAGTTTCCAGCAACTGAATTTGGATTTTCAAAGATTAAAATGCTTCAAGAAAAAAGAGAGGGGTAGTGACTGTCAACTGGAAATTTTTAAATATTCAGTGGGTGAAGACTACAGAATGATGTAAAGAGGTAGGTAAAAAGGATTTTACAAAACAGCTACAGCACCATCCTGATAAAGGCTTCAACCCGCTGACAAACATGTTACCATGTGATACATCCCAGCAAAATGGAATACGGCCTACATTTTAACCATTCATCTCTTGCATTATTCTAATAACACCCAACAGAGACCATCGAAGAATTATCTTCAAGATGTTTAAGTGATATATCAAGTCTAACAATAATTATGCACAAACATTTAACAATTGCAATTGATTAGTTTGATAAAGCAGCAAACTAATTAGAAAGAAACATCATATGATAGAATCGCTTCTGCCTGTCTTGTTAAGCACTAGGGCTAACCCGTTCCATCAATGTGAATTGTTTTGAGAGGGATGTTAATGACCGTTAAATGAGTCTATTTGAGATTGTCAAATGGGCTTATTGAAGTCTGCTCTATTTTATATTATAGATTCTTTGTGTGTTGCTTGCAATAGCAAGGATGTTTCGATCGAGGATTTTGAGGATGTACTCAATTTGACAAACCAAGCTCTCACTATTAGGATCAGGAAAATCTCTCCCAGTAAAGCTTTTATAAACTTCCAAGGATCAAAAGCTTATTAAACTTACCTCCTATTCTTTTATGCAATGACAATAAAAATCAGTAATAAGCACTTAACTATCGATGAACCATGGAAATTTTATGAGAAAACATGAGAAGATAAACTTTTCGACAAGCTTAACAACCAGATAAACTTGGGGTTCCCCTTACCCACCCAAAAAATACTACTTTGGTGGGCAAAAAAAAATCAAAAGACAGAACAATTGAATTCCACAAAATAATCAAAATGGACCATTTTCTAAAAGGATACAAATGACAAATGATATATCTAATGGCACAAAAATCATAGTGGACAATATACATGTATTATGCATAGATTATTCATCCAACAATATGCATGTGTGCTTGTCTGTATGTTTGTCAGTATATACAGATATAACAATACTGAAAAGTGAGGGAAAAGAAAAACTTAAGCATACATGTATAGATGTATATACAATTGAATACCTTTTTTGTTCATTTCTGTCATACCAGAACAGGAAAAAAAACAAATGAAATATAAAAAGAATGAGATAATACCTCATCAAGGTAATCAACATCAAGATCACCAGAGCCGTCAACATTTCCAAACATAAATCCCAAAAGACGGTTACCCCCACCAGCCTCCTCATATTCATCCTCATCATCTGCAAAATCAATGTTTCAATAACGTTCAAAGTGTCATGCCAAATAATTTGACCAATGTGCTACGAAAATGATGCATTGAACAATACGGAATTGTTATTGAGAGCATGAGCCATCTAATTCTAAGTTATAACTCATAAGCATCTTAGACATGGTATGTGTGCAGCAGCAATAATGATTTGACCAAATGTCAGAAAGCCTCCCCTACAGCAACAAAATAGATTTGAGGGTCAATAACCTGGTAAGGGTTGCTTAAAACCAATTTTGAATTCAGGTCAAGATAAGGTGAGGGTCAACTCATCTTGTCCCCACCTTAGCACACTCAGAAACATTTTATTTCTCATAATGCCCGTATTTCTGATGTGTGAAGACAAATCTTATTTTGTCCACAAAGCCTCTAAGGCTTACTCACACAGTGAAGGTACATTATATCAGGAAAAGTTTAAACAACAAACAGCACCTCTCTAGGTCTCAATCTTCTTGCAGTGGTCTTGGACAACACTTCCTGGGTTTATCTCTTCCTCCCTCTATCGTTTTTGTTTCCACACTTCACAACTTGTCACCAATGGATTTACATATCACTACATAAATACCTTTTTTTGCTTCCTCATTTCACATTAATTGTCACCAAGGGTTCCACGTATCACGATCTATAATCCAAATACTTGTACATGTTTGCTTTAATTGTTCTAAAAATCCCCTGCATCTTCCTTCTTTTATTCTAGGTTAAAGTATGGGATTCCTTTGTACTGGTCCAATTGCTGGTTTTGGACTAGTCTTTGCCTTTTACTCGCCCACACTTGTGGAACAACTAATTGCAGATGTGACAGAAGCAAACCAACTGTTTCAGGTTGGGGCGAAGCAGAACCAGAATATCAAGGAAGAGGCCTGTGAACCCAACAGAGCTCTGGGGTGGGATGAGAAGAGGATTTCACTGCTTAAGGGCAGTGAAAGGTAAGAGTGACCCTGCACCAAACTAATGTTTGTTCTAAGGCTTTCAAGTTTTTAAAAAAAAAAAAAAATTGTCCCAGAATGAGTAAAAACTATTGTCTTTCATCATGTTCATTATACAAAAAAGTAACTCCCATAGTATGTCATCACATATTTTGCTCTAAAGATGAGGGACAGAGAAAGTTGTTTGCCAGAGCACACACACTTCAAATTTTATTTCCTCTAGTAAGTGAACATCATTAAAAATTCATTGTGTCAACAAAAATAGCTCATTTAGAAGCACGATAACAACTTAAGTTACCTTCATCCCGGCCATCATGGGAGGTGCTTCCAGAATCATACCCCATGTTACATCAAAAACTCTGCAACATACAAACGCATTTATAATTAGAACGACCTGCATTCCAAAAATTGGATTTAACTCAATAACTTTTTGAAGAAAAAACAACAGTTGAAAGTTACATCCAACCTTCTCTTTGGGTGCAAAGAATTGCAATGGAATATAAAGAAAAGAAAAAATTTCCATATCTCTGATAGTTTAGTCTCAAAGAAAAACAAACTTTCCAAGAAAATGGAAAGAACCAATCTTTTCCTCGTATTTGATTAACAGTTCCAAATTTATACTTTTTATTCCTTTTCCAATTTAAAAAAAAAACACAAAATACAACCCTGAGGAAAAGATATCTTGCACTCAAATCAGAAACCCTAGAACCCTCTAAAAACCCAAGCTCCAGTCTCCAGTGATATTAGAACCCCAATCCAAACAAAACGAAAGAGCAAGTTTTCAAATTGGTCCAAACCACCCAATCACATCTAAACTGCCATCAACAGAATTCACAAAAAATTCGCCCAAACACATCAAATCCACCAACAAAATAAATTACCAAACGATCATCAAATCTTCCCAAGTCGAAGAAGTTAAGCAATTCATTCAAAGAAACAGTCTTGATATCAAAAAAAACTAGAACTGGACCGACGGACCACCGCTCATCTGCATTAAAGTGAAGCTTCCCACCAGTTGGTGCAAAAGTACGGGAGACGATTAGAAAAGCGGTGGTGATGAGCGGCAACGAGAGCAACAGGGAGAGAAGATAGAGAAAGAGGAGGTTCAGGCGTCGCGAGTTGGTTTGGGCGTGGGGGTGGCGGGGTTTGTGGGTGGAGGATGGCGTGGGGGAGGCGGTGAGAGGGCAGAGAGGTCGCAGACTGCGAGAAGATTAGCCAAATTAGCAAATTAGGATTGGTTTTTATAGGTTTTATGCTCGGTTCAAGAGAAACGAATATTACATGTAAGCGTGTCAAAATTCACGTCTCGTTAACACTATGAACACAATAAAAATTACATGTAAGCGTGTCAAAAAACACGCCTCCTTAACGTTGTATGAACAAAATAAAAAATTAAAAAATTTATTTCTTTAAGTTATCTGTTTAGTAAACGAGTGAATCTAACACAATACGATTAATAAATAAATCAGGTATAAATTAAGTAAATCAAAAAAAATATATGATACAACTCGTTTATATATTAGTTATACACGGTTCATACACAATACAAATTCGATATGATTTGTTAGACGTGAATTAATAAATCAATCGAATATGGATAAAATATTTTTTGACATGGACCTGTTTCACCCAACACAATTAAGAAGCCTAATTACATGGGTGGAATTATTCTCATCCCAAAATATCTTTTTGGATAAATTATATTAACACCCTTTGATATTTAATTTTATTATACAGACACCTCCTCACATTTTCAAAACTACACTAAGACCCCATAAAATGAACGTTATTAGTAGTACAAACAAAAAGACCATTTTACCCTCACATCAACTACTCATCCAGACCCAATAACCAAGACCCAAGACCCAAGACCCTCCTCCCTTACCCTTAAAGCTGACCTCACACACACACACACACACTTTCTCTCTCTCACGATGAATCAAAACCCCTAACAATTGATGATCCCTCTCTCTCTTAAGACGTATTAGGATTTAGGACCCCCTAATAACCGACGCCAACACCGAGCGACGCAACCACAACACCCTTATTAACCCCTATCTCCTGCCTATTTTCACCAACACCCACCACCGATATCCTACCGGAGACAAACAGATCCATCAACATTATCGCTCTCCATAAGATTTGATTTCCAACTAGTGCATAAGTGGATCTTTACCTAAAGTTTGTGATCTCCAACTCTCTCGCTCTCCCCTATTTCTCTATGATCGATACTTTTAAGTGGTGGTTGCAGGTGGCTTTTAGTATGGAAAAGGCAGTGAGAGAGAGATAGTGTGAAGGCGGTGGTGGCAGGTAGATTTTAAAACCCTAACCTCTGCGATGTAGTAGTGTTGGTTGATGATAAGTTTTTGTTCAAATGGTGGTGGAGGCAGAGGTGGTTTCAATAGATTGTGGTTTTAGCTTATCTTCTCTCTGTGTGTGCTGGTGGTGGGTTTGGTTAAGTTTGGAAGTTTTGGTAGAAATCGATGGTGATGAGTGGCAGGAGTAGGAATTTATGTAATTAGATAAATAAAAAATAAAAAAAGTAATATAGGATAATTGGATAGGTAATTATTAAGATTTTTAAAAAAATTGATTATTTTTTAAACTATATTAATAATCCCAAATATTATTTAATAAACAAAAAAAAAATTAAAAATTAACTTATTAATGTAATAGATTAGGAAATTAAACATTTTAGTGTTAAAAAAAATAAATGAGAGGTTGGGTAAATTTGTAGGGTAAGAAAAATATTTATTTTGGAGGATATTTTTGGTATTTTAGGAATTATTATTGATGACATAAAGTTTGACTCTGAATAATTCTATCGTCTGTTAGTTAGATGTAGTATGATTGTTACAAGTATTAAAGGTCAAGGGAGTTCGATGCCATTTTTAAAATATGAGGGGTGTCTGTGTAATAAAATTAAATATCATGGAGTGTCAGTATAATTTACCCTATCTTTTTTCACCCATTAAACTTCTAAAATCTCCACCACACTCTCTTTCTCTGCTGCTACCCACAAGCAGCTGGGCATCAAAACCTCCAATACCATCTTAAGTTTTTATTTAAAAAAAAAAACCACATTATCAAACCTCCACCACCAATGGTGGGCGGTACCAAAAAAAATTGTTAGGAGATAATGGAAAGATTGAGGGCATAATAGTACTTTCATACTTCAATTAATGATATAAGTCAATTTAATTCACTTGAAATTTTTAAGAGATAATTTATTATAATTAAAAACCAATTTGAAATTTGGAGGGCATAATTTGTAAATAAAAATTAAAAATCCATTTATTTATTTTAAAAACCCATTTATTTAAAAGCCACTTCCTGCCATCCAATTTTGCTTTTGAAACTAATAGATGATGTTATCCTTCCTTTGTATGCAATTCTGTCACAAATATCTTGCTGTAATCATTTTTATTTTCTTACTTGACAAAATATAAAAGGATTTTTTGTTCCAAAATTGATTAAATAATTAGCATTTTAATTGAAAAATATAAATATCTTAGGATATCTAGACGATAAGGAGTAAAATTTTGTTTTTGTGGATTATTTTGATTAGTTTTAAAAATGTTTTGGAAATAGATTGAAAACAAATAAAAAATTAATAATTTAATTCAAAAAAAATAAAATATTGATCAAAATATATTAAAATACATTAAAACAGTCTAAAAATATTTATGAAAACACCTCTAAACAAATCGAAAACACTGCAAGATAGTCTATCACACCTCGAAAACATTGAAAATTCGATTCGATCACTTATTCGTTTCGAGTCTCTTCAAAACAAAAATATATTGGTCATTATGACCATTTTGAAACAAAATTTTGATACTCGCTAGTGACTCAGCGGAACTTATTATACTAGTAAGTTCCATTTATTGTTTTGTATTCTTTTTTAAAATTATTTAGAAAAATACTTAAATATTAATAGACAAAAGTGATCTATATATTTAGTATACAAAATGATTCATTCGTACCTGTTTACATTTACTGCTAGATATGCTCTTAATCTTTAAGGGAGGGAATAAATTCAGGCAAGAAAAAAGGGATTGTGAATTCTAAAACAAACATCACTTAAAAAAGTAATATCAAAATTCTAAAAAAAGTCAAAAGTACTTAAAAAAATAAATTCCTAAGAGTATTGTCCTCTAAAAGGAAGTTCATCTATAATAATAAACACAGAGTCTCCTTTTTAATCTACTTAAACTCCTCAATTAGGAAAATAAAATAACAGTCTAGATCATTTAGATCCGACGATTTATATGACAATTTAATTTTTTAATCATGACAACTCATTTAAATTTTAACTTTTAAATTATAGTAAATCATTTAAATTTTAACATTTTAATCACAGTAATTCACTTAAATTTTAACTATAATAACTCAATTTATACATTAAAAAAAACGTGTTTTGTACGGGACGTGACTTGTTGATAAATAATTGTGGGAACTTAGCCTTTGCAAGGTACTAGAAAGGTGAGGTGAAGTATTTTTGACTACATATTCAAGACTGCAAGACAGTTGAGGACACACGTTAACTTGAGAATAAGCTAGAAATTGAATTATATAATTTTTGCTATATTTGAGTTGTGTCATTTTTGAGTGATATAAACACAAATGACCCTTAATATGAAACCCATGATTAGAATTACATTAAATCTACTATGCACAAGTCCTCATAAAGTAGAAATCTACTTGATCCATATGCAACACTAGATCAAGGAATTGAAAAAAAAATAAAAATAAAGACAATGATAGTACAACCAAATGAGCTACGTTTGCTAAATAGAGTAATTCCAATTTGATACCTATCCAATTTATTTAATGTTTTTGGGTTTAAGCCGTAATATTCTTGAGTTCGTGTCGAGTTTCGTTATTTTTTTTTTGGGCTGTGTCAAAAAATTATATCATTTTCTAGATTGTGAGGGGAATATTTATAGTTGCTCTCTCTGACCCCCGACTAGTTGGAACCTGTATTTGGGATTCCCACAAAGAACAATCATTTTCTTCCATTTTAAAGGTATTCCCTTCCCTGCAACTGTTTTGCCAATAAAGATAAGCACCATATATATACTCACAAAGGATCCAAATGGTTGGTTCAAGTGTATATTTTTCATGCATTAATGCTGATGATCATCGTTGTTGGGCTTCAAAAGAAGGCCAAATCATTAGGGTAGCCGTAAACTTTTCTATATATCCCAAGTTTGGATTTGAGTACGGTATTGTCAAAAAATTTTTGATACCATACCCCTAAAATTTACAGATTTTGAAGGGTATTTTTATAATTTTTGTGATTAATTTTATAACTAAAAAATTTATTACTTTTGTAGTTGATTTACTACTTTTATGAGTATTTTTACTTCTGTTGTGTGTATTTTTATCACATTTATGGTAAATATTTTTACCACTTTTTTTAAGTACAAAATAATTTATCACTTTTATAGGTGATTTATCGCATTTGTGGGTGTTTTTTTACCATATTTGTAGATATTTTTACTACTATTATGATATATATATTTTTATCTTTTCGTTTTATGTACAACAACAATAATAAAAATAATCACAAATATAATAAAAATTATCATAAATTTGATAAATTTCGATACGGTACCGACGAGCTCTCCGGCTGTACCGCAGCAACTTCCCTCACAAACAAATAAGCGGCCCCCAAAAGTATTTCACGGTCATGAGTTAAATACTAATTTGGAATGCACAACATTTTTCTATAGATATATCATATAATTTAAGAAGCTCGAATATGGATATAATATGATAGGGATACGAGATATGGATATGAAATATGAGTACGATATAATACAAATACGAGATACAGATATAATACGATACAGATACGACAATACGATAAAATGCCAAAAAATAGAATACAAGTACTGCCGAAATATGTCTATAAATATATATACTTTATATTTGTACTA